AATGATCGAACAATCCTCATTTCTGGCTAATGAGTGACTGTTCCCTCTTTTTAGTGATAGCATTACTTCAACTTTTGTCTTTCAGGGACTGGATGAAAAAGTTAAGCTGCTCAGTCAGAATTATCTGTGCTTTTAGACAGCATCCAATCTGAGGAGGATCCCCATTTCTTTGTACGTTCCCTAGTCTCAACTCCTATAGTAAATTTTTCCTAACACTGTCTTATTGAGGTTCCCTTTGGGTTCCCATGGTGCTTGTTTTTCCTGCTTGCAATAAATTGATAAATCCAGTTTTGTATCACTGTAGATGGGCCTCTTACAGTCTTTGGCTAGAGAATGTTGATGGAATTATTAGACAGCCACCAGCCTTTATTGTATCTCAGGTAGTGCTGGCTCTTTGGACTTTTCTAAGGGTTTGCCCATGGTTTTGGTGCTACTTCAAAGAACAGACCTGTGAACAATGATTATGTCTAGACATAATATCATCCTTCACATTGTGGATGATGGGGACATGAACCCAAGGTACTACATTTCTTAAAAGTAATAAAAATAATAGCTAACATGTATATGCCACTAGATGGTAAGATATGTATTAGATAGTTCTAATAGTGCTCCACATAATAATTTATGTAAAACAACACTTTCTAGCAAGGGCTATTGCCATTCTCAGTTTACAGATGCAGAACCGAGGTACTGAACTGGTTTTTGTGTATAGTCCCCCAACTGTTGAGTAAGAGAGTCCAGATCTGAACTCAGGGAATCATAGATTTATATTCTGTATGGTTAGTTTTGTGAATGATTTGGTACTGCTTAGTACACTGTTACTTGATGGGTTTCCCTAGCTGTGAGCAAGGCTATCCCTGTTAAGGATGTGAAGTCTAGCAACCCTGAAGTGTTCATGTGTCTTTTTAGCAGCTTATTGTCAGGAGTAACTTAAAACTTGGTGGAATTAAATCCAGGAACAATTCCTGGATTAAAAACATACAGGATTATTTGGCATACATATTTCAAGTTTTAGTTTCTCAGGTACCAGGTTCCTGTTTAAAAACCTTTGAGCTGGGGAGATGGCCCAGTAGGTAGGTAAAATGCTTCCTACATTGTGCATGTTTGAGGATCTCAGATCAGATCTACAGAACACACAGAAGACTGGATGTACTGCACATCTGTAATTCCTTTCTTCCGGCCGCCAGAGCCCTGCTGCCATGTGGCTGCCCAAAATAACACACAGAGGTTAATATTAGGTACAATGCTGCTGGCCAATGACTAGGATTTCTTATCTGCTAACTCAGTCTTAATTATCAACCATAACTACTAATCTTTATATTTTATAAGACTTATCTTATGGAGGAGGCCAGTGGAATGTGTCCTGTTTTCCTGGGATCACATGGAGGCTCCACAGAGAGGAGGAGGAAGAGAGAGATTTCCTGCTTGTCCCTGTTTATATTCTGAGTCTTTTATTACAGTTGTTCAACGAGCTAACCCCATTAGCTCAAGGCTTTCATCCATCCATCATAGCAGATGGCTGAGGAAAGACCCAGAAAAACCATGAGATCAATTTTTTTTTTTTTTTTTTTTTTGGTTTTTCGAAACAGGCTTTCTCTGTGTAGCTTTGGAGCCTATCCAGGCACTCGCTTTGGAGACCAGGCTGGCCTCGAACTCAGAGATCCGCCTGCCTCTGCCTCCCGAGTGCTGGGATTAAAGGTGTGTGCCACCAACGCCCGGTCAAGACAGAGATCTTATAGGGTAGTGAATGGGAATATCTAGGGGTGTGTACAGTCTCAGGATTGGTGTGCTTCCAGACTTGGATGCCCTGCCTTGTGTTGATTGGTCAACTGGTTGTTATGGCCCATAGGCCCTCCCAGGGTGGTTTCTATGCTCTGTATGTCACTGGTGTGCAATTGTCCATTTAAAGCTTACCCAGAGCCCTGCTAGCTAACTTCTGATTAGTTCCTTGCCACCAGGCAGGCAGGTCCAAGGCCAAGGTCAAGCAAGCATGTGTTAGCCTGTCATGGCTGCCAAAACAGCAGTTGGTCCCTTCATTCCCCCCTTCATTCTCAAAGTACACATGAGAGGACTCAATCCTGAGTCCTGCCTGTTAGGGGCTCAAAGGGGATGTTAACAGGCCTGCCATTAGCTGACAGATTTTTCTGAGGGAGTGACATTTGCATGTATTGTCATATTGTCCCCCATGTAAGGGAGTTTCTTTTGACTTAGCATCTCAACCAGGGAAAATGGATGACGTATTCTTTCCCATGGTACTTCCTGCTGACTTTGGGATGGCCCTCTTCTCTTACCCCCCTTTTTTTTTTTTTTTTTTTGGTAGCAGGACCTCTTAAAGTAACGCTGCAGTTTTTTGCCACTATTTTGAGTCAAGAAACCTCTCTTAAAGGAACCGTGCAAGTCTCTGTTTGTCTCTAGCAAAACAGAGCCCACCCGAGAAAATGCTGCTATCAAGAAGTCGTGTTCCTTTGCTTCTAAAATCCCTTTTTAAGCTTTTGTGAAGTTTTTATGTGAAGTTCATAATCACACTTCTGACACCACATAAAAGGAAACACAATTCCTGTCTGTAATCCAATGCTAAGGAGACAGCAACAGGAGCATCTTGGGTTATCACTGACTAGCCAGCCTAACAATTCAATTAAGTCCCAGCTTCACTGAGAGACCTTATTATCTCAAAAAATAATGTGGAGAGCAATTGAGGAAGACATCAGCCTCTGCCTTCCACATACACACATGTACAGACACATATATGTACACATGAATAGTGCTGTGCACTTGTACACACACACACACACACACACACACACACACACTCAGAAAGATAATAAGTCTTTACTCCAAAGCCACTCGAGCCCTGCCACATGGGTGCTTTCCGCCAGGCCTCCCGAGTTCTGCCCACCACCATGTTAAGGACCCAAGTAACACACAGAGACTTATATTAGGTACAAATACTGCTTGGCCAATAACTAGGATATCTTATCTACTAGCTCAGTCTTAATTATCATAAATCTATATATTTTATAAGACTTATCTTATCAAGGACGCCTCCTGCTGGCACCCTCTCTTGCCAGCAGATCACGTGGCGACTCCAGAGAAGAGACCAGGAGGAAGAGCAAGAGAAAAGGGACGATTTCCTTCTTGCCCTTGTTTATATGAGTCTTCCTGCTATGTCACTTCCTGCCTGGATCACCACATCTTTACTACATTTCCCAGAATCCTCCTTGACTCCTAGTCCCACCTTACTTGCTACCTCATTGGCCAAACAGTACTTTATTTATCATCCAATAACACAAACATATACACAAAAGGACATCCCCCACCAGCTTGTAGGCTGG